AATATATATATATATATATATTAATAATATATATATATATTATTGGTAATTTCGTATTTGGTATCTACGGTTATTGATGTTAAATTTTTATCTCAAAATTATATGGATTTCTCAAGAGACTCTCTCTCTCTCTCTCTCTCTCTCTGACGCTTGCACGAGAATCATTAAAAGATGATATCTCGTTTTCTTGTAAAACGTAAGAGGAACGTTGACGACTCAGACGAGATTACATGTCATTCACATTTTTATTACCTATATGAAATACTAGATAGTATCTTACGTAGTAATATTAATAAGAATAATTGTTCTCGGACAATTAAATAAATAATAAGGACACAAACAGAAGCAGTTGAAGTAATAATAGATTAGATGATAGTACATTTTCTATAATTATATGTATCTGAAGTAATATTTAAATGTTACGTAATAATTTTATTTATATTTATCGTTAACTTATTCGTTTTTAAAGTGTATGTATGATCAAATATTGTTAAAATTATTTGTTTTTGTAATATGCATTTTTAATTACTCATACGTTTTATAATATTCATCGTAATTTGTTACGGTATTGAACTATAGTTTTTTTGTAAAAATTTAAGTCAAATTATCTATTACCCGATGCAACGTTTATTATAATATAAAAAATTAATTATTGACATTGATTAATTTTTTTTCTTTTTTATACTTTCTTAAAAATCGACGATTGATGATTATGATTTATTATAATTGGCACTTTCTACGAACGGAAAATTATCACCCGAGTGACGTAAATTTCGCGTTTGTGAAAAATGAAGGAAGAATTTTTGTTTTCTTCTTAATCGTGGGTGTATTTCGTAGTAATATTTATTTTATAGTTTCTCATTAACGGAAGGTTACAAATTCACGTTGTTTGGATTGAAATAAAAATCCGATACTTGTCGTTATTATAAATAAAACAATAAAAACACAAAATACAAAAGAAAAATATGAAACGATGATCGATAAGTTTTCAAATTTGATAATGATAGCAACGTTATACTTATATCATACTTATCACTAATCTAATCGCAATTTCCTTCCTGTTATTAAAAAGCATAATCTTTTCTACTAAGTAATGATTGTCAAGATGAGAGACTTCGTTGTAATGTAAACTTTGAAACAAAAAAGACAAAAAGAAAAAACAAAAACAAAAAACAAAAAGTAAGAATAACAAATTCGTATATAATAATTTTTTTATTATATTGTGTGTTGTTGAACCACACACAAAAGTTCGTATCTAAAATAATGCAAAATTTTTCTTTTCAAATCAATATATAAAATTATTATACTTTATATAAGAAAATATATTGAAATGTTAATAATAAATTAACAATAAAAAAAAAAAAAAAAACTAATAAATACGACAAATAAAATTCGATAATCGAAAGAATTATCAAAATGTGATGATCGAATATAAATTACAAAATTATAATTGCATTATTTCTACAATAGAATACAAATACGATAAATAAATTCACAACGAGTAGGATTATCGATCAAAACAATAATTGCACGTAATATTTATTCAACAAAAAAGAACCAGAAAAAAAAAGAAAGAATTAAATAAATAAATAAAAGTATGTTTCGTAGTCGTGGAAATTAAAAAAAAAAAAAAAACAAAAAAATAAAAAGAAAAAGAAAAGAAGATTCGACGCGTTAATAATAATTGCACGTTATATTTATCCAACAAAAAAGAACCAGAAAAAAAAGAAAGAATTAAATAAATAAATAAAAGTATGTTTCGTAGTCGTGGAAATTAAAAATAAATAAATAAAAAGAAGATTCGACGTGTTAATAACAATTGCACATTATATTTATCCAACAAAATATAACTAGAAAAAAAAGAGAGAATTAAATAAATAAAAGTATGTTTCGTAGTCGTGGGAATTAAAAAAAAAAAAAAAAAAACAAAAATAAATAAAAAGAAAATAAGATTCGACGTGTTAATAATAATTGCACATTATATTTATCCAACAAAATATAACTAGAAAAAAAAGAGAGAATTAAATAAATAAAAGTATGTTTCGTAGTCGTGGGAATTAAAAAAACAAAAAAAAAACAAAAAAATAAAAAGAAAAGAAAAGAAGATTCGACGTGTTAATAATAATTGCACATTATATTTATCCAACAAAAAAGAACCATAAAAAAAGAGTATTAATTAAATAAAAGTATGTTTCGTAGTCGTGGGAATTAAAAAAAAAAAACAAAAATAAAAATAAAAGAAAAGAAGATTCTACAATAGAAAAGATTTTCCCTCTCGATAGTGTTTTAAATAATATTTAACAATATAATAATCGTATGGCGTCACCGAAAGCAAGCCAAGCCAACATTTTGCCGGAGTTAGTTGGGGTCGCTGCTGTGAATGTATAAAAGCTGGTTAACTTAAATGGGAGGATACAGTTCTATCTCAGTCTGAGCGGAGCAAAGTTGATATCACCGATGAGCAACCAGAATTATACTTGAGGGAATAAGCGAACAAGAAGAAACAAGAATAATAACAAGAAGAAGAAGAAGAAAAACAAGAAGAAGAACGTTGAGAACGTAATTCCACTTGTACGTACTGAATTTTCTTCTTCCCATCCCCCCTTGTCCCCCCATTTCCCCCTATATCACCTATACCACCTGATTTAAACGATTACTAAAACTAGAAGAAGAAGAAGAAAAAGAAGAAGAAGAAGAAAAAGAGGGAAAATACGATTGAGGAAAAGAAAAATAAGTGAAATAAAACGAAGTAGGAGATAACAGGTTTCACCCTGAGTCACTCACTCACTGTTCACCGATTCGTTAAGATGTCGTTCACAATGCAACAGAATTGATGATAAAAAGGAAAAAGAGGGAATAGTAGGAAGAGGAAAAGGAACGAACGGAAGACAGTTTTAAGGAAAATCAAAAAATATAAAGGAATATATATCAAGTTTTAAGTTATAAAAGAAAGTTTCATTTATAATAGATACATAGATTTCTATAAAAACAGTCTCGAGAGTTCACTGGTATTTTTATCTCTTAATATAGAAGTATAGGTATTTCCTATATATATACAAGAGAAATTCTTTTGGTTGGTTGAAGGAGGGCACGACTAAGAGATTGTTAAAACGTGTGAAAGGACGACGCTACGACACAACGACGACAACGTTCTTGTATACGTGAATAAAACAAAAATAGAAAAGAAACCAAAAAAAAACAACAACAACAACAACAAGAACAACAAGCAAGAAAAAATATAACTATTTATAATAAGTGACAAAATTACATATGCGTATGATGTAATTCGAATTCTCGTGCAATTAAAAGAATTTGTTTATCGTTAGAAGAAGAAGGCAAAAAAAAAAAAAGCAACAAAAAAAAAAGAAGAAAAGAGAGAATAAGGAAATAAATATCCAAGAAGAAGAAGAAGAAGAATACGCGGTTCTGTAAAGAAAGTAGAAATTTTGTTGAAATCTTTACATCGTGGTGAGTACGATCATATAGAAATAATTATATTTTCTTATATAATTAATAACTATTGACATATGGTAACCCTTCTCCTCCCTCCCCCCCCTTCGTCCCCCTCCACCGCGTGTGTCTAGTTAGAAATAATTTAACGTTTTATCTCTCGTATTACCTTTTTCTAACTTTCTTAATATTTGATTGAAAGTTCCGACATTTTTCTTAGAATTTATTTTCCGAATTTGACATTTGCGTTGTTCATACAGATATATAATTTTCGTTGTTATTGGAATTGTACAGCAAATGTAGAAATTGTAATTTATATAATATATGCAACCGGTTTAACACAGAATTTTTAATAAGTATAGAAAAATTGTAAAATATTTTCAATGTGTATTTATGATCTATATTTACAAACATATTATGAATATTTAAATTGCATAATTTTGTTCAAGTACTTATTCTTTTTGTATTATTAGCTTACGTATTACTTGCTTGAACAATTATTATTTTTTTATACTAACGCTTACGTAAAACGTTCGATCTATGATGTAGATTTTATGATTATTTTCTATACACTTCTCATTACATGCATTTACATTTTTTCCGAGTCGTTTACCTTAATCAATTAAATCAAACGTTTCATGTATACATATATATAATTCTTTAAAGATTTCTCCTGTTCGAATTGCTTAACTGTAAGAATCATTTGTGAAACTTTTGAACAAAAGCAAATATACACAATAGTGTGTAATCATTTGTCCCACTTTCTAATACGTCCTCGTAAGAAATTCAATAGGAAAATTCAATAGTGGAAAATAAAAATGACAAAATTTCATTCCTATTAAATGTAATTCACCTGGCCAATTGGAATATTCAAATAATTTCAATTAAATTATATTTTATTTTTCAAATAGTTTATTTCTTTTTTTTTTTTAAACGACACCATATTGTCAGTTTAATATCCGTTTATTTTATTTCGTTAATTATTGATTGTTATCGTTACAATAAATAATTACTTTCATATTTCTCTGTGTTCATTTTTAAACAATAATAAAAAAAGAAATAAATTGAAAAGAAATTTACATTTAATATGCTTTTAATTGGCGAATGAAATTTGTTGGTTATCACACACACACACACACACACACACACACACACAACGCAGTAATAGTGCCTTGCATAATCGTGCAAGTGCACTCTGATATAACGCACGGTCTCAGTTTAATCGCAATACTGTATACTGTATATTATATATTCCTCGTTTGATCGATTATCATAATGTTTCTAAAAAAAACCCTTTTTTGTAAAAATTCCCAAAAAAATATATAACGAGTAAAATAAAAGTTGCTATATTAAAAATGTTAATTAAAAAAAAAAAAAAAAAAGCATTATAATATTGAAGAAGAATTTTCTGTTAGAAAAAAGAATACAAATTGTTAAATATTTAATTAATATAATAATTAAATTGTGTGTGTATGCGTGTGTGTATAATAATAATATTTATTTGTTCATATTTGAATTATATATATATAATATCTAAATAATATTATTTATTTAAATATTTTATTAATATCTAAATAATAATATATAATAGATATATATTATCTGTTTTGAAATTTAAAATGAAACAACATGAAATATAATTGAAGCATGATTATACCAAAGAACAATGTACCGAACACGCATTACCAGGTACAACGCCATGTAAAAGCCATAAATCGGTGTAATGGGTGTACCGGTACCAGTACCGGTAATCAACGGTATTGGATTTTGTATTTCTTTTTTTTTTTTTACTTCTTCGTAATACAATTGGATATGATTTTTATTGTTCTATCGACATCTTTATGTTTTCCAATTAATATTGATGATATACGATAATTAATTATTATGCTAGAAAAAAAAGAGGCTTCTTTATATTTTTTTTTACAGTAAAAGAAAAATCAGTAAATACAGTAAAAATAGAACTCCCTGACGTTTGTTTTTATATATCCTCCAGAGATAATAGATTATTATTATTATTTTCATTGAATAGAAGAGAAAAATAAGAAGAATAAGAAGATGAAATATTTAACAGAAATTAAAAGTCTAGACGTAAGTGTTTAACTTTGTATGCTTATCTAACTTCTCACGTCGAAAAGAATGTATGTATTTTTTTTTTCTTTTTTTTTTTTTTTTTCTAACGATTTAATAGTAAACTCATGTCGGGTAATAATTTTTTCTTTTTCCTCTTTTTCGTTTCGTGTTATTCGAAAAAATTTTGCAATGAAAAACGACGTGCGTTGTTGCGGGTGCTGTCGCAAATGTAAATTCTTTTTCTTTTATTTCTTCGACAATTTGCTCTGATTTTTTTCTTGTTGTTTAGATGGGTACCCTGCAACAACAATCAATTTTAAAAGGCCACCAAGTGAACGGGAACGGAGAAGTGGAATTACTTCACAAATTGTTCACCGAGACAGCAATTAGACATGCCGATGACATTGCTATCATTTACGAAGGTGAAAACAACAAAAAATGTTCAGTGAAATATAATTATCATTTATTATTGTCACATAAGAGAAAGAAAAATTTGATTTTTCATTGTTTTTTTTTTTTATTTCGATTAAGATGAATATTTAATATTTGTTGTTTTTTTTTGTTCCGTTGTTCGAATTATTCTCAGATATCAACGGTGAGATAACCGAGATGACATATAAAAAATTAAACAAATTAACCAACAAATTAGCGAGAACTTTGAGAAAATACGATGGGAATGCTGAAATAACTGGTCAACCCTTGATAGCAGTTTCCATGAGACCAACCGAAAAATTGCCAATTATTTTATTATCTATATTGAAAGCTGGCATGATTTATTTACCATTGGATCCTGAATTCCCATCAGCTAGGTTGAAACACATCTTACAGGAAGCCGAACCTACGTTGGTGATGATTGAGAATGATGGTAAATAACATTTTCAAAACTCTTACACATATTTTTAACGAACAAACCAAATCGATTAAGAAAAAGAAAAAAAAAAAAAAACAGGATATATTTATCTGTTTATTTCACAAATTTCACAACACGCAGATTTCTTTTTTTATTTTATTTTATATTATTTATGCGAGTACTTGGTCATAAATAATGTCCCATTATTTTAATATGACGAAATTCGACTGAACGACCGAACTAATGAATGAAAATAAAATAAAATACGTTTAAACGTTGCGAACGGTAATAAAAACCTTGGAAGATTTGGAAAAAATCTTGTAACACAGCCGAAGGCTATTTTAATGAGCTATTAGATTTACCGAGTAGTTATTTCTTGTATTATTTATTCAAGATAACCTTGAACGTTAGAAGAATAAACAAGCGAATGCTTTATTCGTTCCTCCCTGGCCTCCTACCAAGCCTCCTGCCCCCCCCCTCCACGTCACCCCATCCCGTTTGTTTCTTTTTTATTTTTTCTAATTAATCTCGGTGTCTCATTTTTTCGTTTAATTTGTCTATGTTGTATATATAAATCCACGATTGTATAATAATTTATTATCATTGTAAATATTAGTGTCGTTCTCGTTCGGATGATTAAAAATATTGAAAAGAAACGCAAATGAAAAATAATAAGAGATAAATAAAGAAAACTAATTGATCATGGAGACACGTGTATGATTTATAATATTTACATTTGAATAATCTAGTAATAAAACTATTTTTCAAGTTACTATTTTTACAATTACGTATATTACATATGATTAATTAATTTACCCTAACACACACGTAGTTACAGTTTTTCAATATTAAACTTGTACTTTTTTACAATCGGTAATTGTGTTACTTTTTACAAAAATACTCTCGTAATCTTTTATTAAGACTAATAATTATTGAATTTTAAATGTCATATCACGTTTGTATCTAATAAAAGAACCGGACAAAATATTCATATTTATTTGCATAAATAAATCGTAAATAACGTATATTACGAGGGTCCCTTCAAATTGCAAATTAGTTAGATATAATATCATTGAATAAAATAGAAACGTTAAAAATTGATAAAATAAATATGAAGATGAATTATTTTAGCTAACAATTCGTTGTATTCCGATACCGTAACAAAAACTTATGAACAATTATTGGACGAGGCACGGTTTGAATGTGACGATGATTTGGAATACAATGATAATCCTAAACAATTGGCTATCGTACTTTACACTTCCGGTAGCACAGGAATTCCAAAAGGTAACAACAACAACAAAATATCATTTCTTTTTTAACACGTTGAGCGTCTCATGCGAATTTTTAATAAAAATTTTCCCCATAAATTTCCCACGCGCTTTATTTTACCATTTAAAAAACAATTGTGAGTGTCAGTCACCGGTGACTGACGCGACACTCAACGTGTTAATATGTTAAAAACAAATAAACAAAAAAGAAAAAGAAATCCAATAAAAATCATATGAAAAATTAGGTGTGTTGATACGTCATTCGACGATTTTGAATCGATTGAACTGGCAATGGAGAGAATTACCATATTTCACGGACGAGAATCGTTGTATATTTAAAACAGCGTTAACTTTCGTCGACAGTGTGCCCGAAATTTGGGGTCCATTGTTAAAGGGACGTACTTTGGTCGTTGTACCTAAAGATGTTACCAAAAATCCAGAAAAATTCGTACGAACGTTGGAGAAATACGAGGTGAGAAATTTTATAATCGTTTTTATGTTCATTGCCAGAGATAAAAAAGATAGAAAGGCTGGGGCAGGGGCAGGGGCAGGGGCAGGGGGGAGGGACAGAGGATGAAGGTAAATAATAATTTGCATATGCAAAATAATAGAAAAAAAAATAGAAAAAAAAGAAAGAAAGAAAGAAAGAAAGAAAGAAAGAGAAAAATGGCACAGAATGAAAATAAATCCTACGATGTTGTAAACAAGTAAAGGTAAACTATATAATATGACATTTGCATATGAAATCATTCGTATGCATTTCATCATCCATTTTTTTTTCAGATCAAACGATTGGTATTGGTGCCATCCCTTCTACGATCCATGGTGATGTATCTCAAACTTCAGGTAAGAATGATCGATTAATTATTGATTTTTTTTCTTATTATTATTAATTATTAATATTTAAACGCGCATGGTGTGTGTCTTGAAAGGAAATAATAATAAAATTTGTAAGAGGTAGAAAAATAACTCAAGAGACAGATATGTGGATAAATAAATAAAACGCGAGTATAAATATCGATTAAAATAAACTAATAATTATTTGATGTGATAAGGTATGTCTCTTAAATGCATATTTTTTAAAATAATTATTAGATAGGAATTGATAATTATTAGTCATAAAATAGATAAATTTGCAAACTATATTTTTTAATTTGTTAGCTCAATTTAATTAGCTAGTTTTAATTTGTGTGCTTTTATATAACGTGTAAATAATTGGTTTTATTTCTACATACTTTGCGTAATAACAACAGAGAGAGAGAGAGAGAGAGAGAGAGAGAGAGAGAGAGAGAGAGAGAGAGAGAGAGAGAAAAAGAGAAAATATATTTAATTAAAAAGTATAATAAATTAAAAAGAATTTGCTTTTAATTGAAACTATTTGCATAATTTTGATAAAATAAAATAGAAATTTATTGACACTCTCGTTAAATCATTTTATAACAGAAAATTTTAGGAATCTTAAACGAATCTGTTAGATTTATTCTTAATGTTTAAATAGAATAAACAAAACGTGCTACCTTGTTTAAAACTTTGGATTTGTTCCGGTGAGATATTATCGATTGCTCAAGCAACCGAGTTTTTCGTTGCCTTTCACGGTAATAATAGAATGTTGGCGAATTTTTATGGTAGCACTGAAATCATGGGCGATGTTACTTACCATATAATGCAAAATTGCAATGATCTACAATTGTTGGAAAAGGTACCGATCGGTAAGTAAATTATGTTACATGCTTTTTGTGTATATATATATATATTAATTTACAAATATTTATATTATTAAAAATTAATTGTAACAAATTCTTTTATTTTGGATTTTCAATATGCAATTAATTTTGGAACAGAAAAAGAGAAGAAATTATAGAAACTTAACATTGTAAAACATTCGATATTGACTCTGGCTAATTAAATACGAACAAAGTCACATTAATAGTAATTCAAAACACACACACACACACACACACACCACACCATGGTCAACGATTTCAAGAACGAACTTTTAATTATTTTTTTGCCGGGAATACGTTTGCTTTATATTTTTTTTTTCTTTTTTTTTGTTTTATTATAAAAAAGACCCTTGAAACGTTTCATTTATTCTAAACTTTGTTAAACGTTTCCGTTCACTTTTTGCATTTGTTTTTTTGTTTGTTTGTTTTCTTTTTACTACATTATCATAACTAATAATAATAATAACAATATATTTTATTCGTTATAAATAAAATTCGATGTGCATATGGATTGTGTTTAATTTTCCCATTTAGGTAAACCTTTGGACAATTGTATCGTTTATTTGGTTAACGAGGACATGCGTTTAGTTTCTCAAGAAGAAATTGGTGAAATATTGGTAGCTGGTAAAAATTTAGCAGCTGGTTATTTACGTGATCGAGATTCCCATAAGTTTTTGGATAACCCTTATGCAATAGATCCAGGTTAGTTTTCATCTTATTTTCTAATATTTTTTCTTTTACTCTTTTTCTTTTTTATTTTTCCTATAAAATACATCTCAAAGTTTCTCAGATAATTTTTTAACACAAACAATTATTATTTTTTTATCGAGAAACAATTTATGGGGTAATGTTTATTTATCTAGCGTTGCAGTAAATTATTAGTAATTTTATCTAGTAATCATTTTAATGCTTTTTTTATTATTGACTCATATAAGTGTCGTATTCCCCCATGCAAAATGATATACGTGTACAATACTTATGTTTAAATCATACTGCAACGAATGGGTTACAAAATCTCGTTAAAAAAAGAATAGATAATTACTGAACATACACATTACTACTATTTACTACTATTTTTGATATCTCTTTCTCAATGTGTTTCAATTTTCATTACAATTATCTTTTAATTATTATCACGTCAATATGTGTATCAAAAATATTTGCTTTGTTTTCTTTCTTGTTGCAATATTCATAGATTGTCTGTTATATTATATACGAGTATAAAATTAATAGTTGATGAGAAGCAATCACGTATGACATGATATATGACCACTTATATAATTATCCTTTCTTTTTTTTTTTTTGTTTTTTTGTTTTTTTTTTTCTAATAAAAATGAATCAATTGTCGCTACGCAAGTGCAACTTTTTGATATCAGATTAAATTATATTGTCAGACAAGATTTGCTTCGATTTTATATATAGTATAAATACATAAAAGATAATTAATGAAAAATTGTATTATTTTTCTTTTCTGGAATTTAAATTAGCTTACGTTAATTTATTCCCATTACTCTGTCATTCCATTTTATAATTTGCGTGTACACTCGAGCGAGTATTTAGCACAATATTCCCATAATTTCTACTTTATTGAAATAAATTACAAAAATGTCACCGTTCGAAAAAAAAAAAAATAAGAAAAACGAAAGGGGGGAAAAAGAAAAAGTGAGAACGTATAAATTTATATATATATAATAAACACGTTGCATTAAAAGAGGCCATTTGATATTGATTAAAATCAAAATTCAACTTTCAAAACTCAACTATGTTGCATTATTATTACTATTCTAACGTGAATTAATAATTACATTTTATGTCTACAAATAAGTGTGTCACGGCTGAATGTTATACCAATGAATGTTATATCAAGGTTTATATCAATTAGTATACATTAATACGCATTAAATAACGATAAACGAAAAATGATTGGAAAAAAAATTTTGGTAGAAACGCGAAATTCGTTCAATTTTTTTTTCTTTTCTTTTCTTTTTTTTTCTTTTCTTTTCTTTTTTTTCTTTCTAACAATAAACTATACTTACGAATTAACTTTCAACAAGGTCTAACGTAACTGACCTAATAAATATCTTTTTAGTATTGTTCTTGAAAAGGAGAGAAAAAAAAAAGAGTTACAAAAAAAAAAAGGAAAAATTTTCCATACACATTTACGGTTACGAATGCAACGGATTGATCGGTCGATTGATCCAAATAATTAATCTGAGATAATTATTCTAGATTTATTTAGATATTAGTCTAAGATAATTCTAATAAGATTAGATAATTATTCTAAGTTAATCGTTTGGTACGCGAACGACTAACAAGCATGAACAAAATTAAACTGGTTATATGCATATCGTTATCGATTAAAAATAAAAATAAAAATAAAATAAAAAAACTATATATATATTAATAAACAGTTCGACATTCTCGTGCTCCATTTATTTTTTGTATTTCTTTTTTTTTTTCAAAAATAATATGTTGTTTCACTTTTTCTTATTTTTTTTTTCTATTTTTTTTTTTTTTCGAACAGATTATTCGAGATTATTTCGTACCGGTGATTATGCAAGAATCGTCAAAGGAACTATGGTTTACGAGGGACGTGTCGATTCGCAAGTCAAAATTCGAGGACATCGAGTTGATCTATCCGAGGTAGAAAAAATTATTTCAAGAATATCGGAGATCGATAAGGTTGTCGTACTTTGTTACAAACCAGGCGACATATCACAGGTGAGAATTGAAAAAAATTAATATGTAACGGTGTATGTAGAATATATTTTAAATTAATATTCGATACGTTTTAAAAACCTCAATGTTTGTCGTTATTTCTATCGTAAAAAACACCATTGAGATGTATTTATCATCTTATTAATCTTCGATAGTATTAATAGTTTCCATTTACATTCTTCCACCCCCTCCACCGATAACTTTAGTAATTTTTATTTAAAATAAGTTTCATTAGGATAAAACCCAAAAAATCGTGCATTTATTGCCGTTGTTTCAGAGAGACCTCTATATATATATATATAAATAAATTAAAAAAAAAATTACTATATTTAT